GGATGTGCTATCTGCTGTAAATGCATTTCAAAAAAAAAGCTTCCTATACCTTTGGCAAGCTGCAGTCTGGTCCTGTTGACACCCATTAGCGATTATGATGTTTTTTCCAGTTTAGTTTCGTTTTTTAAAAAATCCAGATTGCATGAATTCTGTCATCTCACTTGCAGCTCCAACTAAAGCTTACCCAACTCACTAGTTTTGTTATTAGCTTGGCATGTTTCTCTCCTGCTCCTGCAAAGGTTGGGCATGTGTTGAACCCATCCTTCTCATGAAGATGTCAGCATCCTGGAAATTTGTCACTATTCTTTTTCCTCGTACTTTCAAATGAGAGCCATTGTCTGATTCCCTCAGTTTCATCATTGATCTGTCTTCAGGGTAACCAGACCTTGTGAGTCACTAATATAAACTTCGGGAAATGAAGGTCATAAAAAAAGGCAACAAAGCCTTTCACCCATCGCGCTCCCACAAGAGCAAAAAGGACAAGTAGAAGCAAGTTTTGGAAAATGTGGTTTGTGAAGAAGATCTGGTTACCGTAATTCCTCACCAGTGTTTCCTTTCAGGTTTTACTGGGTTTCAAGTTTTGACTCCCATGTTTTTCCAGGGCACTCTTCTAGCATGGCTACAGGGGATGGGAAGTTTCATGGCAACACTGAGTTATCATTCTAGATATCCACTGAGAGGCATCACCTACGTACTAACGTGGTATTTTCCACATTACTGTTCTGAAATTTTTTATGATGTTGCCTCAAATCCCGTAACATACATAGCTCCCTGCTGAGCTATGTGGTGTTCTAACTACTGTGGTGTTCTAGCTACCACATCACTACACTAAAATTCCTTCCAGGGATTACCTCTCACAATCAGGACATCTTTGGCTTGTCATGGAGATTTCATGGAGGTTTAGGATACTGATTGCTAAGGTAAAATATTGATTTCTGAAGGTTTTACTTTTAATTATAGTAGAATTTTATATGTGATCGTTTTCTTGCTCAAGAGAAGGAAAGAAGACTGAGGGGAATGTGCAGTGAAAAATGAACCACTCTATGGATCAGACCCAGCCACAGGTTGCCAGTTGAACCATCCTGCTCCACCAACATCAGAGTGCCAAATCTACTCTTCTTAAGAGTGGTTAGAGTGAGTCAGTGTTTGAAGAACATAAGCTACATGTATATCCATGTTGCTATGTAAGTTCTAGTGTGTTTGGAAAACTGAAACCAAGCTGCAGTTAATCCCTTAAATGAAAGAGCCAAGACTGCAGTAGATAAAACTGGATGAGACCAATAGTTAAAGTGAATTGTGGCATGGGAGTAAGTTAGCTGGTCTGTGAAGACACTGCCTATCTGTAGAAAGCTGTAAGATCTCAAAAGAAATAGGCAAAAACCACTTCTTTGTGACGAGTGGTTGGTGAAGACTTCAGACCATAGCATTACTGAGGACCACAGACGAAGGGAAACGAAGCGAAGAGGCCATGGGAGATACTGAGTAGAATATTTACTTACAAGGGATCTCATCTCTACACGTGCTTCTGTTCTACGCACAGGAAACTTGAAACAATGTGCTAAAGGTCCTGGGACCATGAAAAAAGACTATCCATCTATATGGATGCAACAGGCCACCAACTAACTGGAAGGAAATGTAACTATTTGGAATAAACCAGCAGCAACAGCAAATACACTTTTGGATGCACAGATACTGCAAGCACATAAAGTTACATATTTGACCAGCTACAGCATATTTAGTCTGACACTGGTTTCCACTGCCTTAACAAAAGGTAAATTGAAATATGCACAAAATCACAGTCAGCATACAAAGGGATGATGGTTTTCATGAGGCATATTCCCGCATCGAGTGAGTGCACTTCTAAATTAATGAACTAAAAGTTTCGTGCCTCCCTAACACAGGAGGATTTGTGACTATATATGGGTGTGTAGAGAAGAGATTGCAACTGACGTTTTGAGCAAAAACAAACAGAGCAAAGATAGGCATGACTGATTGTTCCAACAAACATCAGACAAATCTGCAACGCGTATGCAAGTCTGAACTCTCTCCAGTTTTCAGCTCTATAAAACTACCCCACTCAAAAGCTTTGATATTTAATTCTGAATTGCTTATTTCTTTTTTACATCACTGTCACCATTTTAACAATTAAATGGGACCCCCTAGAAGAAAAAAGGTCAGACATCCTTTTCTAATGGATCAAAATTACAAATATTTTATTGGTAATTTACTATGTTTACACTGTCTGAATCACAGAAGTTGCTATTTTAAGTGACCACAGAAAATGAAATACAGAATTATTTTACACAGCTATACAGAACATTTTAAAAAAATCCTTTTAACATTATTTCAGTACATACAACATTCACTTGCTAAGCCAACCATGCGTTGATTAAGAGGTGTTTTGGACAGTGAAATGCCACAGCTCACAGCAGATGCTCCACAACCATCAAATTTTGCATTTGATTCTCTGAGGTGCAGTACCAGTGTACCAGTTCAGTCGACCCCCAGTCTGAAACATCCTCTCTGAACTCCGAGAGAGCTGTGTGCAGGGAGCATTCAGACCAGCTGAGGAAGTAAAATCTAACTACTACCCGAAGGCTGAAACACAGAGACGCGATGTAGTTTCTTACAAGTTTATTTTTTTTTCATCTCAAGGGATTCTGTGTCAACTCTTCAGGCCATTGGGACAGATGATTCTTACTCTGTTGCACCACCCTGGGCAAGCACATTTTATCTCCTATAAAGATGCACGTGCCTCTCTGCAGTTGTTCTGCTACCTGTCACCCACTCATTTGATGCTGAGAGACACTTAGACTGGCTGTTTTACACCACAAGCTGATTTTACTCTCTTTTCCTAACTTTTCTAAACAATTCCTTTGTCAAAAAAAAAAAATAATAGTATTTAGCTTTTTTATTCAAGGTAGCAAATGTCAGCTAGTTTTTTTTAAAGAGCTATTGTGTGCTCTAATTCTGCTCCAGCTGAATAGAACAGTTAAACATTCATAGATTTCAGTGATGAAGCCATAGATCTGTACTGAGGACTTTAGAAAATGACTGTCTTCAATATTAAGAGCTTCAATCTTAGCTAGAACACTGATGCACTGGAGCTCTCCTGTATATTCTTTTAACTGTATGAGAGTAGGAGTTTGGAAAAATTTTATTACAGGACACAAGAGCTTCAATAAAAACACTGCTTTTAAAAATACTGCAAAAAAGACAAAAAGTGTACTAATACAGGTATATTAACCCCCAAAAGTAGGCAGTATATACGGTCTTTATTTGCAAAACCTAAATATCTGACTTAGCAGGACTCGTCTTAACAAAGAATTAGTCCAGGAAAAAATGAAAGATATGTTACACGTTTGCCAATACAACAGCTGTATTTTAAATAAAAATAACAATAATATACATGTACAATATTGTAATGATATAACTTGATGAAAATAACACTGATCAGTATCAAACTTAGGATTTAGCTGATTATCCATCCTTAACAGGTGAAATGCATTTCACAGAAACAGATGGCAGGCAGAGTGAAGTGATATTCATGGCTTACCGTCAGAAAGTTACCATGAAAGTTAAGGTAAATGTAGAGAACAAAACTTTAAATAGATACATAATTATAAAAATTCAGCATTATAGCAGTTGGGTGTATGTGCTGCAGAAAGATGGTAACAGCAACCTAATGGTAGACAACATCCACACTTGCACACATTCTCTCACACACAAACACACACGTCCTCATACTCAAATGCATGTGCATAGGTCCTCAGCTTGATTATACAAGCATACATCTACTAGCTTTTGATGGGGCAACACCAGGAATGGGGTTCACCTCTCCTGTATTTAGCTGTCTGCAAGGTAGCTGTAGCTACCTAAAGTCAGATGAGGTGAAACCCACCTAAGGCATCATCAGCTGAACACTTTAATGAAAACTGTTTTCATCCTGAGCATATTTAAGGCACTTTATTAAAAAATATGCAGTTCAAAAAGGCTGGAAAAAAAGGTAAAAATCCTTACACGTGAAATTTGGAAATTAAAAAAAAAAAAAATTCCTGAGTTTTGATAAATATTTTTATTATAATAAAATACCATGCCTATTGAAAACATGTCTTTTATAAAAGCATGTTATATGACATTTTTTCTTGAAAAACTCATGCCTTAGTGCATGAAATATGTTAATAAGTCTTTGGGGACATCTGTAACAAATTAATAGGAAATGAAAAGCCAAAGAATGACCTGTTACGTATGCACAAAATGTGCATTGCTCCTGGCAACACACATCATGTTTACTACAGGCATCTTTATCTTTCTGTTTTCTCACAGGGTCCTGCCCATATTTTAATACTTTATAATTAATTACGCTTCACTAAACTATTTACAGAAGCAGAAACTAATCACACATCTTCTTAAACACCCATAAATATGAAACTACATAAGTAGAACACATTTTAAAATGGTATGGAGACAAGTGTGCTACATAGTACTCTTCTCTAGAAGCACAGTTCATGAATTATTTTCTTTACGAGATTTAAATCTAAACCAAAATAGAAGTTCAAGCTCTCCTTCTGTTTTCCCTGGTTACATTTTTTCCACCTGCAATTTCTAGAAGATTTTGCCCCAAGACAGTGTTTGGATTGCAAAAACAGTTGTAAATTGGCCCAAAAGTATCTTGAGTAAAGAATTGTCAGGCTCTTGAATGCCCACTGTTCACATGGGATACGATCAATTTGTTTTCAGTTAAAATTAGCTGGTTTCCAATACTAGCCATCGTTCATATGGTTCTAGTAGTATTAATTTTTGCTTTTGATGTTTTTTTCTCTTCTCTGCTGTCACTAAACATGAATAACGCAGAAACAGTGAAATGGACCATACCCAAAGTTCTGCCAAATGCACTGAACACACAAAGTGGTTACAAAATAGTATTTAGAGAGGCCTGGGGAGGTTCCTTCTAACAATAATAGGTAAAAACAATCATCAGAGTGAAATGCACTTTTGACTTGACTGCATCCTTTAATATTTTCATTAGCTACCTCTACAACACCTCTGATAAAAATTCTACTTTTTTACATTTAAACTTCTATTACAAGCTATTTCATGTTTTATTTAAAAAAAAAAAACACACCACAATAGCGATGGTGGTTAATCTGCTTTATAAAAGATAATACATTGAGTTATATATAATAATGGCTTTGATCCAATTAATGTTATATTATATTGCTCAGTAATTACTGTGACTTCAGTTCCTACAACTGTTATAGTGAATACAAATGATCGTTTAATGTACAGGAAGTGGGGATCATTTGGAAGTGCTGATTCAGAAGTATTCAAGTGCTAACAACAACTTGTTCTCTCTATGCTTTTCTTCATGTTCCATAAACGATGATTTTATAAACGCCCATGATTTTGAACATGACACAGTTTTGGGGCAATTATTTTTTTTTAATAACCTTTTTTGTGGAAACACAAAACTAGATTTTTTAAACGTTACCATCTCGTTAGAAGTAATTGCCACTTTTACTTAAAAAGGCACCAGCATTAATGTAAGAGGATATACCTTTTATGCTTGTTTTACGAAGAGCTGTACTTGTTACTAGAGCGGAAATTATCATATCCGTGATCATTAGCTTTGAATTTTAAACAGGACTGCCTTTCCTCCAGGGACAATAGATCTTTGGATTGGCACCAGCAACACAAGCATGACTGTTAAAATAAAAAGAATAAACATTTTACATCATTTTGGTTTGCACATGTGGCAAAATGCACTGAAATGCTGCCCTTCTTCAGTGGTACAGTAGGAAATGGCCAATGTGCAAGCTGTCATTTTGGGAGTACAGCATAAGCAACGGAACAAGGTTAAACTCTGCGCAAATGAGCACTAACTACTGGGTTGCCCCATTGCCAACCTCAGTGCTGGAGGGCAAGAAGAGTTATATTGAGCAATACATAATTACGGCCACAAACTGCTTCAAGTCTGGTCTGCAATTCTAAAAGCATCTGAAAATAAAATTAGACTCCTTGTTGTCCTTTCTCTGATAATCTTACCTGGAAGAAATGTATGCACAGTAATCTATACTTTCTAAGCAAGATGCTGCTATTGAGTTGATTTTTTTTTGGGGGGGGGAAGAGAACCAAGTAGGAAAATGATGAAAACCTCATCCAGTTCAAATATTTACTACATGTACTGCAGACCTTTTGCTTATGCTACTGACTGGCCTTTGGGTGCTGGAAGTCCGTCTGGGATCCTGCACACCCACTTGTTTCCACAGTCAGAATGCTACAGTCTCTTATGTGCTCTCAGCTCCAGTGGCTCTTTCAGGGAGCCGCCAGTGTAGACAGGGAAGATGAGACCAACACTAAAGCCTCTGCAACCTTTGCCATTGGAATTATGAGGGAAATACCCCAACATTACTACACGTAGAGCTGACTGGCTTCTGATGGAAAGATATACCAGTAAGGAATTTACGCAGCCAGGCAACAAGCCTAGGAGCGGCCAACATTTAAATGCTTGGCAACAATGGAAAAATCTAAGAATTTGTGGTAGGCAATGTAAGAACCCTGATACAGTGTCTGAAGACAGCAAGGGGCCACAAGAAAGTCCAAATCTGGACATTTTCCAAGCAGACATGAAGGCTGAAGGACTGATGGGCTGCAATCCATACGCAATCCAGAGCCTCAAATCCTACATGGAGAATTAGTGACCAGGACTATTCACTCAAACTAAGGCAAAACTACAAATGGGTCTTTCTCATAAAATGTTGGCGTTGGAAAGGCAGGAGTAGAGACTTGGACCCTCTGCCTTACATAACTGCCTACTGACTCAAGTGCTGGGTCAGGATGGGGGGACCCGAGGTCAGCGCCCTCCCCGTCGGGTTGCAGAGGATACGGCTACGTGAAACTCCGCAGCACGGTCTGTTTTGTCAGTGCTCTCGAAGTGGCTGGGTGCCAACACCAGTCAGGAGGTGACACAGCACTGATTAGCACGGTGCCAAAAGGGCTTATTGTACGCTCCTCTCTTTTGCTTTCCCCTTTTGTCCTCCTGAATCCTTAAGTCCTTTCTGTGTAGCTTCTGCAGGAGAGGGAGAGAACACCTACCACAACCCAGTTAATGACTATTTGAAGCACTTTGTGCATGTTACGGGATGAATTTGACTGCTGACATCATCTTTTAAGCAGAGGGGCAGCTTCCAACAGTCTCTTACCTTAAAGCAGTTTTGGAATCTTTTGCTCACCAAATACAGAGCTATAGGATTGATGCAGGAATTCAGTGAAGCCATGTTAATACCAATGTAGTCCATTACAAGAAAAAAGCTGTGTGGAAAATAAAGTAAGTGAGACACTTCTCATTTTCTCTGAAAAGGTTTAGTAGAGGTTTACAAATATATAAATTGGACTCAGGTTCACTCAACCAAGACTAGCTAATAAATATAGTAGTAAAGGGGCTTACATCGACAGGATTAACTTATGGAGGTAACAATTGTGCTCAATAATAAAGTTTGAATCAGTACATCGCTCTCGTGAAAGTAATTTCAGAAGATCCAACCACCTTAACATATGGGAGGAAATATTCATGAGGTTTTCCTCACAGATTCAATCCTAGCTGTTCTGTTGAAAGGGAAAATGGGGTCAGAAATTCCCCCTCCACCCACATAATGCCACAAGACAGCAGGACAGTCCCAAAAGGGATCAGGAGAATACAGGTGAACAGGACAGAGGCCCTGTGTTCATGGGATTCCTCCTAGTTTCCTGACTCTGCTACTCAGTGAAATCAGAGTGTCCTGGATGAAGAAGCAAGGAGAACTTCAGACACACAGAGTAAGATAGTCAATTAGGAAATCCAAATACACTTACAGAGAACGTCAGCAGCGCACAGGCATTTTATTTTTATGGTCTCACCTTAAAAGTTCACATCTGTTGGGGTCCTTCTGATCATAAATAGTGAGCTTCAATATTCTGCTTAAGTGAAGTGGGAGCCAACACAAGGCAAAAACAAGTACCAGACAGAACACAGTTTTGGCCACCTCACGTCTCTGAAAAAGAAAATTGGACAGAACAGTGTTATAGTTCGTGTCTGTCTTGTGATTGTTGTTGCCTTCTAGCATCCAAATGTTTAAAAAACAGAACAAAACCCCTATCAAAACAGGAGTTAAGAGAACATCAGAATACCTTCTTTTCTTAGAATATGTACTTAATCTTTTCTGTTGTTTTAGGCGTCTTGCACTGATTCTCTGTATCTCTAATTTTAAAAAGTATGAGTAACAAAATGAAAAAATCAAAGACATAAACCAGTAATTCAAATTAAAATGAAGAACATATCCCATGTCCCCAATCACTTTCAAATACCAGCTTGTTTAAAATTGTATTTTCTTGTGCTTTGATCTCAGGTCTTATTTTAAATGCTTTATTGAGGTAAGAGGAACGGATACAAATATACTTTGTAGTACAAATGTAGTTTAATTTCAGTGACGTACAATGTTTGTCTCTGGTGCACTACTAACTTGGAACTTATTTTGGAATGTGTTTTGTTCTGTTAACATATACTGCTCACCTCACTATAGTTCAGCACGAAATTGATTCAAAATAATGAATAAATTTACGGCACCAGCTTCTACATTACAGCATGACCTAAATTTTCATTACAAAATATCCATCTCTCATTCTTGTACAGAAGAAAGAAAAACTGTAAAACCTGAAGGATTAAAACCAAACAAGAAAAAAAAGTAGCGAAAATCTTAGGTTTCTGAGGGATCTGATATCTATATCTATATACCTATATGAGTTCAGCAGCACCACTCTTAAGAAACTTCTCCTTAGTAGTAATCTTAAAGTTGTTATACAAGAACAGAATAATGATGTGGCAGTAAAGTCAGTAAAGGTATTATGGTCTCTACAGTCAGCAGAGTCATCAGGCATAAATTTTTACCTGTTTTAAGTGGTCATTTAAAGCAATCTGCATCCCACTTTTCTTTCGTAACATCTCACAGGTCATGAGAGTATAGAAAAACGCTGTGATAGCCAGTGGCAAACAGAAGTAAAAGCTAAACAGCCACCAGTCTTTAGCTTGCTTGTAAAACTAGAAAGAAAACAAAAGCAAAATATTGTTAGGAGTTGAATGTTAAGCATTTTAGGAACTATGCTATAAATAATTGATCGGTTTGTCCTGAAAAGCATCTCTACAAGATGTACATTACCAATGAGAAAGCGGGACAAGATAGTAACAAGTCCAAAGCCCTCAGAAAGATAAAAGTTTCCGAATGCTCTTAACTGATCAACTTCAGAAATTTGTCAGCATTTTATTTAAACATTATATCCACCTACATTTCACATACACTTGTGCACACTGGAATCCACACAACACTGAGAAGATCCAAGGAACTCTTCCGGAGAGCCGTGATTTTATAAATGTCAGTGTCTTACCATCATAAAGGATGTTTTCTGCATGGGGTGAAGCAGGCAGATTCTAAGATTCTTTCCTCTGTACTCCATTGTAAACATGTCAAAAGCAATAGCTTCTGGAACAGCCAATATCACTGATATAACCCAGATCAGTACAATTTCAACAGCAGTCCACTTTGGCACTCCAATTCCTTTAATGCGACTCCAAGAAGCAACTGCTCGGTACCTGAACAAACAGCACACATTTGCAAATTAAAAATATATGAAAATCCGTCAGGTCTAACTGGCTTAAACTCAGCTTATTTGTATTATATCAGCTGAGTGGAAAAGTGAATTTGAGCCAATGTCCATATTTAAAAGGAATTACAGAGTTTGATGAAAAAATGAGTCTCACCTATCTATACTGAGGGCGCACAAACTCAACACTGTGATGCCCACTGATGCCTTTTGAATGAAGGGTACTAATTTGCACATTTCGACACCAAAAGGCCAGTCCTCTGCAAGCAACTGTGAAAAAAAAAAAAAACAAACAGTTAGAAATTAGTCATTTTAAAAAAATAATTCCCACAGATGCAACACAGACTCCTCTCTCAACTGTTTTTCTTTTCTACCATCCAAAACTCAGTCAAGAAGAACCTTTTCACAAGGAGCCTCCAAGGTGTGTGTCCTAAAACCTAGGCAGTAGCATCCCAGTCACTCCCTGGCTGCACAAGGATAGTCCTGACTTCTCAAGCTCTACAAACTCCACTCATTTTGTTTCTAACTTCACCACCCCAGTGTTTTTGGTGAGGAATGACTGAGCAGGTGAGGATTTCTCTCCTGTATTGGCTTTATCTGTCTCGAGTGTTCATTGCTTTTCTTAGATGTTTCACGTAACTCTCCATTTACTAGAAATACAGACAACTACTTGAGGCTGATCAGAACAGGGACAAAGCTAATAAGTGCACATCTGAGGTGGGTTTTATTTGAAGCTTGGTGTCTAGGCTTCATCAGCTGTGAAGTCAGGCAACACTCAAGATCAACGTATCTCATAGTTTTTAGCTGACCATCTGATAACGAAAGAAGGGACCCCCTGGACACTCAGGGAGCCTAAACAGCTAGTTTGAACTAAATGCTTTGCAGCAGGTAAAGACAGATCAGATAAATCTCACACTGAAGATCTTTATTGACCAGTTTTCCAATGATTCTGTGTTAGAATACCAAAAAGACTATCTGAATATTCGGCATACTTGTATGTACTACAGAATAAAGAAAACAGCACAATGGATTTTAGGTTGGTTCAATTGCACTTAGGGTCATACACTTTAAAGGAAATCTTCTGTCACATTCCCAGAAGCACATTTCAGCTGATTTAGGGTACAAGACTGGACGCAGAAAGCACCTTCCTCACAGCTGATGCTATGAACTGTTTGTCTGTAGCTGTAGTTTAGAAACATTTCATCTTTGCACTGTTACGAGTGCTGCTCTGACGGCTCAAATACACCACAGCAGCAGCCAAATCTTCCAGTTCCTCATAAAAAACAAGACTCTTCAGAAGAGACGTTATGCCAAGAAATAGTCGCAATTGTTATATACAAAAGTAAACTTTCTGAGTTTCTGTAATTAGTTACATTATCTAGGCCCATCTCTGTTTTTCATAGCTTTCTTCAAATGAGGCCCTTTTGGATCTGCTTCAGATAGAGGGCAACAAAACGTAAAAGGAGAGGAAAGAAGAACAATAACTACCCAAAAGAGATTGCAAAATCTTTCCCTTGGCTCAGGTTTCCTCAGGCAACTCATTTAACAGGGATGTAAGAAAAGAAGTAATAGATCATCATCCTGAAGGAACTGGCGGATGAAGTTGCCAAGCCACTGGCCATTGTATTTGAGAAGTCGTGGCGGTCTGGTGAGGTCCCCGATGACTGGAAGAGAGGGAACATAACCCCCATTTTTAAAAAGGGGAACAAGGAGGACCCGGGCAACTACAGGCCGGTCAGCCTCACCTCTGTGCCTGGCAAGGTCATGGAGCAGATTCTCCTGGGAACCATGCTAAGGCACATGGAGAGCAAGGAGGTGGTGGGTGACAGCCAACATGGCTTCACCAAAGGCAGATCGTGCCTGACCAACTTGGTGGCCTTTTACGATAGGGTGACAGCATCGGTGGACAAGGGTC